CTGATGTTAGAGTGGTACCAAAATGGCCATCACTAGTTGCTTAGTAACTAAGTTGTAGTAACTGAGTGCTGTGTCGGCGCTGCACTGTCCTGTCTGTTTACTATGTCTAATGTCCGTATTAATTATCATATTTATTGTATTGTTTCTAGTTTAATGTTTGCACACTTTGTCTGTACTGTCTATTTTGTTCCATGTTGCACCGTGTTGTTCCTGGAGGAACGTAATTTCACTCCACTGTGTACTTAGTTGGAATGACAATCAAAGCCTCTTGACTTGACTTTCCACTGCATTTTGATTTAAAATGCCCTAATGCTGCGATTTTAACAATATGCCTACAAATTCTACTAATTTTCTCCTAGTTTTCACTTCTAAATGCAGTCAAATTAAACACTTTAGTCTGGAGGTTGTTCTGTTGTGTGAGAGAGCTGTTTAACTGATGCTTGCTTTGCTTAGCATCCATATTGGTAGCCTGTTTAAAGGCCAAAATCAGCATGCTAGGCTTTAATTTCATGGTGCCATATTGTCTAATAATGCTGGGCAGTGCAGTGGCCTGCAGATGTGAACAGTAGCCTGACCAGTGCCAGGACTCCTTACTGAGTCACTGTAAAACTGCAACAAGGTAAAATATAATTAATATAATTTAATTCATGTCTGTTACAGGCTTCAAATAAAACATGGGATGTCTTTAAAGCTTTAAATGTCTGCTTTGAATGTAGAACAGACAAAAATGTTCATGTGAATTACCGTTAGCTCAGTGCTAACATGCCACTAAAATCCCATAAGGGCGCTAGCAGAAGTGAGCGTAATTGTAGAGCTGGGTTTTTATCATGTTTTGGCATTTATGGCACGAACTGAAGGCTCAACTCTAACATTGTGTTCACATCTCAGCCTCGTTGCTTGCCTCATAGCAGTATGCGGCCAACATCAGCACACAGAAATGGAAACGATGCCACAGCGTTACCAGCGAAGTGTATGATGATCAAATGAGAGCGTTAGCAGTGCTGATTCTTTATTTAAGGTAAAAAGGCAGGAGACGCTCTGTGTTCATTTAGTTTCTGTTGTATTAAACTGGGTGGTCCTGCTCTTCAACAGTGAGATATTCAGCGTTCATGGCTCCCAAAAACAGCTGCGGTTCACGGCAAAATTTGGTACGGCAAAAGTTGAAGTATAGATGGAATATTCTGCTTACCGCTTCGGTCAGTGGACCGTAGCCACTGGCAGAGGCAGCATTTTTTCCCTCGTGACTTCATTGAAAACAATCGAATATCCAGTTTGCCATCGCCCCTCTACCGCCAACACATAAAACACAGCATTAGAGTCAGTGCATTGTTGTAAGGGTTTCTTCAGCAGCCCTTACTAAAATGAGGCCTCTTATTTCTGGGCTTTTCAGCTCATGTTGTAAGTGCTGTGTTAAGCCGTGTCCTACAGTGCTGTATCCCCTGACTCAGGTGTGTTGGAGCTAGAACAGAAAGAGACAATAATGGGGTCCTCAAAGAGAGATCTGAGATGTAAGAGTTAAACTACTGGGCTGTAACGTGTCAGTTAATGTTCTACAGCTGTGATGGATGCTAAGGGTCCATTACAGTGACTGTGATGTTGCACAGATGATATAAAGAGAGGAAACCTGGTGATATATTGAATGTAGATAAATGACTCGCGTGGGAACCAAAGTGGATCCTTTACTGAGCACCATGGCAACAGGTGCAGGTGCAGCTCACACTGTTTAGCCAGTGGCAGCTCCTCACTGATCAATTATTTACAAAATTACTGGGCAATAATGCATGCTTTCAAAGGTGCACTCCAACAGGTGATATAAAAACAGGTGACACAAAGCGTAGAGAGAGAGAGAGAGAGGGAGAGAGAGAGAGAGGAATGGAGAGAAAAAGCTCAAGTGAAAGTATGATTTCTGTACTTCATCTTTTCATCTCCCTCCCTCTTCTTTCTCCCTCTCTCAGCTTTTAAAGGGGCCATATTCTACTTTGTCCTTCTTTTTTGTGCTGATTGGCTGGTGACCTTCCAGTATTGCACCTCATTTAAAAACGCAGTGTGGGCCGAAACTCTCCTTATAACTTCAGCATGAATATGTTTACAGATATATGTAAGTGTATACTGTTTTGTGACATCACAAAAATGATCCATTCAAAATGGGCTGTTTTTGTAGCTTCATTTCCATACAGTTGCAAGCAAAAGTTTGGGTGCCCCTGATCAAATTACAAGTTTTGCTGATTTTCTAAGTGAACATAAGTATATGAATACACTTTTGGTAGTTCCAGTGTTGCTTGCTGTTCATGTCTGTTCAGTGAGTGCGGCGCCTGAGGGTCTGATTTGTGAAGGGAAACATGAATCAGATGCAACACCGGCAGCTATAATGACACTCCTCACTTAATTGGTCCTTCAGGTTACCTACTCATACGTTAAACGTTACCAATAAATGTGCTAATCATAACATCTTTATTACAAACTAAGCTTAGGTTAATTGAGTTATTTACAGTTGGTACAGACTGGCATATCGCAGCCTTGTGAGGTGGTGCTGGGGGTGCTGAGCTCAGCACGTGAGTGTGGTTATCTCCACTCTAGGCTCCTATGCTTTGCGAGTAGGGCGTCATCAGGGGGCGGTGACGTTGGGTGATTGATTTGCATACTGTGACGTGTCATGGTACTTTGGTACAAAGACACGTCATCCACACCTATAGCAGAGTGGAACCAGAGGGGCGCTGCAGAGGCGGAACTGACCACAATAAAAATGATACTTGTACAGTTTGGAAAGAATGTGTTCACATTTTAAGCAAGGCTGGTATGTTTTATTATTACAGAGCAGTGCATTTCAGCTGTTAATGAAAAAAGGTCTTAAGTTTTAGTTACTCTTTAATGACAATCACTGGTTACTTCCTGCATTTAATATGTTGGGAAAAAATAAAACATAGAACGTGGCCTGTGTAAAAGGTATGGCACATACTTACGCATAGTGCTAATACACTTTCCTGAGTCTACATCCGGACTGCGGTTGGCCACTTGACGACCCTCACCATATATATTTGATTATAATTCCAAAATCAATGCATTTAAATCACCACCTTCCTTTTTCACATCGCTGGTGCAGACTGCTGTAATCACTGCTCGTCCTCTTCTTTGTTAAGCCTCCTATTAGGAGCGGTGCCTGTGGATAATTGCATTGGCGATTTGACCCCCAGTTAGGTAATTAAGCACAACGAGCACTCAAAGTCCAGTTACGGCCGCTCTGCATGCCTGCTGTGTACGAACCAGGACACGCTTCAATCAGCACACAGCCTTTTAAACACGAATGAGTCTTTAGAGGTTTTCACAGAGAACCAGGCCAATGTGGCAGTGATTGCGTAATACATAATGTGTCAAACCTTTAGAAAATTCTGTACGTTGTGGCAGGCTTTTGAGGTTTAAGTGGCACATAGAAGAGCTCCTTTATGGTCCTTTACAGATTGTATATGGAAAATTACTCAGGTACAAGTAGATTAGCATCACTTTGGCTTCTACTGTTCGTCTAGATAAGAGCGTCTGCTAAAAGACTAAATATAAATGTAAATTAAAGGGGAATTGTTTGATGGTTCCTTATAGATGGATGTACTAATTCTAATTTATTTACAGTGTTGGCGAGAAGAACCAGAGGTCACTATGTGTACAACAAGAATTGTGCCATTTTATTTACTATCTATAACCACCAGTGAAGCTACATGAGTGGATAATGATAAAATAGTAAATCTGTAGTAAATAGTAAATTATTTCTGGGTTCTATTTTGCCTCACAATACAAGAATTCTCTTCAAATCTAAATATTCTCTTGGCTTTCTCATATTGCATATTTATTTTCCCCCAAATCATCACACTAGCAGCAGCAATAATTACTAGTAATGAAGACAATATGCAGAAACGAGACAGTGAGGGGGTGACAAACAAGCACATTGAAAAACATGATCATTTACAGTACTGTGCAATAGCGAGAGACCATCCTTTGTTTATGTAATTAGCAGGCAAAACCTGCCCTAATTACAATTAACAGTGCCAGAAAAAAGGCAGAATCTGTATATTTACCTTTATTACAGCTTCCATTCTTTTCACGAGACTCGCTTTCAGTTTTTCAAAGAAATCAGTAGGGTTAGTTTTCCACACTTCCGAAGTTCAGTCTCAGAAGTTGGTTTTGCGTTTTCTGCTTTTCACAATCCAAATAATGAACACATTCAGTGATGTTGAGGTCTGGACTCTGGGGTGGTCAGTCCATTGTTCAGCTTCTTTGTTTGATGTGTCCGTCTCCTTTTCTCAATGAGGTTCTTCTTGAACAGCTACACATCCTTTCAGACCCACAGCGCTGAGTCGTCTTCTCACAGTGGAAGGATGGACAGAAACACCTGTGGATGTTTTCAGATCTGAAGCAGCTTGATTTTCTCCTCTCTCTCAAAGATGAAAGCTTTAAGTGCTGTTTATCTGATGGGGGCAGTTTTGGTGTCTATCAGGTCTTCCAGGTGGTTGTTAGGAGCCCCATTTTCTCTGTAGCTCAATCATTTTTTAAACTGCCGTTTTAGAAACTCAGTTTTTTGCACTTATTTTCCTTTGACTTTCTCCTTCCTTACACAAGTGGATTATTCCATATCTAATGTCATCAGAAACATCTCCTGAAAAATGATTAACGTGTACTTAATGGCCATTTTAACTGGAAATTGAATAATTGAAGGGTCTCTGACTTTTGCACAGTACTGTATATATAAAACTAAAAATGTAGGCAGTGTACTATCAATGCAGTGGACAGAATGTGCTGTGAATGAAGTGATCGCAATAATAATAATAATAATAACAATAATAATAATAATAATACTTTTTAAGCAATTAGCACCTTTTACACATTACAATGCAGCTCAAAGTGAAGCAGGAATAAGAGTGAGTCTGAGCGAGGTGGGAGTGTAGGATGGAAGCAGGAATGCTGTAGGAGTCCAGCTGTGAGAAAGTGTATGTTTTTCTGTTCTCTGATTACAGTGGTGTACGTGTGCTGTAAGTGGGACACGTTCCGGAAGTTGATGGTGCAGTTTTATAAGCAGAGGCTTCCCCAGGAGGAGTACGTCTTCTTCTTCATCGATCTGTTCGGAGAGAGCGTGCAGAGTCGCCCGGCGCAACCATGGAAACGAGGAGACGCTGACGACGAGGCGGCCAAGCAGGCCTTTAAAGTGAGTTTGTCTAAATGCCTAATATATGTATATATTTTTTTTTTGTTTAAAACAATAGTTCAGCAAAAAAATGTGTGTACCGGGTTTCCTCCCTTTCAGCAAATGTATTCAGTCAGCTAAGACATGTTTGGGGTGTGAAGCTTCTATCGCTTCCATAGTTTTTCAGTGGAGCTAGGAGGCTAATGTAGATAACAAGTCATGGAAAGTTATGTCATGCTGTGGTTTACAGAACTGTCGAAATCATGTTGGTTGAATGCGAAAGTTTGGGCGCAGGGTGTCCCGAAGTGTTAGGGCTACATGGAGTGTTATGAGGAAAAAAAAAACGGTAACATGGCTGTGCAAGTGACAAACCCATAAATGTGAGTTTTTCTCCATTAAAAATTACATTAAACATATTATCGTAGTTTAATGTCGTTTCAATGTGTTACGGTCCTTTTTGAATAACAAGTTTTAAAAAATCACTAGTAGTATGCTGATGTCTCGGTAGCTAGCTAGCTAAATTTTCTGTGCAACCATTTAAGGTGGAACAGGAAAATTCGAACAAGAAGCTGGCGAATAACAGACTTCAGCTTCATGTCACTGAAGAATTAGGGGTGGGCGATAATAAATAATTGCTCCCCCCTCTTTGAAGGCATATGATGCCCTAAATGTATCGAAAGCCCAGCAGTGAGGAGCTGAACTTTACCCTCCTCTACTATCACTGCAGACTGGCAGGGTCGCCTACCGAGCAGCGCTAGCAGCTGTTAATGAAGTAATGCTCTTTTTATTTGAGGATCCCATTTCATAGGGAAGATTTCAACCACTACCCCTTCTAACTCAGTTCCAAGGGACAACGTGACACTAACAAGGGGTAGGGCTAAAAATAAGAAATGGAAGTGGACCAAAGTCAGCTTTATTGTCATTTTCTCTCATTACATGTGTGTTGAGAGAAGAATGAAATGTAGTTTCTTCAGGACACAGTGTTACATTTAAACAGCAGACAGAAAATCAATACCGTAAATACAGGTAAACTATCCGAACACATATACAAAACCATTATCACAAAACAGTAGAGACTAACCAAAGAACAAATTGTGCACTGATAATTGAAAATAGTCTTTAGTAGCACAACAGCAAAAGATTAATACACAACAATGTACTCAGTAAAGTGACTGTGCATATAATGTGAGGAAGGTTAAAGTTTCATTGTAAAGTGGCGGAGTATGGAAGGTAAAGTGTAGTGTGGCTGTGGTAGCAGTTCAGTGAGAATGTTTAAAGGTCCATAAGGTAGATCCGTGTAGCAGTGACTGCCTGTCCATGAGTCTGGAGAACTTGGCCCTCATGCTCTGTAGTCATCTTCCAGATGGGAGTGGGGTAAACAGTCCGTGTGATGGATGATAGGGATCCTTCCTGATGCTGCACGCCTTCCTTTTACTCCGTTCAGTATTGGCAGGGAAGCTCAAGCCAGTGACTGGGCGGTCTTCACTACCCTATGCAGTGCTTTCCTGTCTGAGATGGAGGTACTTCCATTCCAGACAGTGATGCTGCAGGTCAGGATGCTCTCTGTGATGCTTCTGTAGAAGCAGCTGAGGATGGGTGTGTGCAGGCCGCCCCGCTTCAGTCTCCCTAGGAAGTCAAGGCGCTGATGTGCCTTCTTCGTTAAGGAGGAGGTGTTGTCAGTTTGCCAGTGATGTGCACTCCCAGGAGCCCAGTTCCACTTTCATTTGTATAAGTATTTTGTTTCAGTACAGACTTGTTTTGCTATTTTATGGAACTGTTTAAATGCAAATGGTATTGCTCAGCCAAACAAAAAAAATAAAATGGAAATATAATAAACCGTGGCTTTAGCATCACTTGTCACTGCTAACTCAGTTATGCTTGCTAGGTTAGCTTTCGCTTGCTGTTAGCTTTCGCATGGTAAGTTTCTCGAACTTGAACAGAGTAAAGTAGACCATTTTGTTAAAGCTGTGTGGACAGAGCAAACCACATCAGCCTTGTAGTTGGTGAGGATATTGCTTACAAACATGCTACCCAAGATTATTAGCACCCAGTTAACATTAAAAGGGTAGAACGTTACCAAAATACATTGATTAGTAAAAAGGTCTTTGCTCATACTCTGCCCATGTATATTGCATGCAAGCAAAGGCAAGATTAAGTGCAAGAAAGAAAGCATGGATTTAGGTTTCCTGGGGGTGTATTAGTTTAATTTTTTAGTAGTCGTGACAAATCGAGTTGATTTTTACAGAATTAACGCAATGAAACGCGAAGGCTCTGCTTCAGCTCAGAGCTCTGGGCATTAAAATGCATTGGACAAAATGACGAGCTGCTCTGAGCTATGATGAGCTCTGAAGGTGCCATTAGTGCTAATATGCATTTTATTAGTCTGTTAAACTGACACTCTGTGAAGGTCGTATGGTTTTGTCGCCCCCTCTGGTGCAAACAGAAAATGTCCTAAATAAACTAATATGTAACTCCATATTGTGTGGCTTTAAAAATCAAAATGAAAAAATACATATTTATCGATGACTTTGTCCTCGTTTATCAATTTATCTTCCCAGATTTTCCACTGATGTGTTTAATTTCCGTTATCTTTCTCTCTTTTTTTCCTCAGAGTTCTTAAGAATGCATAAATGAGCTATTATTTTGATTTTCACACTCGGAGAGATTAATAATTGTAGAATTATTATAATTAACCCGAATGACTCATGTGGAAAGAGCAGGGGAAAGAGAACAGACAGTGTTTTGGGAATATAAATATCACACGCTCTGCACTGATAAGTCTAAAGTAAATGTATGATGATTAAAATAAATGTCAGCCTTTGTCAAATTAGGACGATCTAAATTGTATCAAACTGAACACAATTAAAATGGTTCTTTTTTCTCCAGGGAACTCTGTTACAATGGGCCGCCCTCACGCTTTCAGCTCAGAGCAGATACTGTTCAGCACTGCTGGGGGGTTAACCTTCTGATTTAAAACATTAATAAAGTCCTGCTCAGACGGCATATTTGCATTTGGAAATATCAATGATGAAATGATGAAAGGGTCCTTTCCATTAAAAAGGAGAAGCACAAAAAAGTGTGCAATTAACATCAAAGCTCTCTGGTCATTTATACAGCGAAGTTTAAGGAAACGTTCCAGCATGTTCAGCCTAGTCTTTATGTGCCGTATCTGTAGCACACACATGATTACAGACAGTCATTTCAATGTGTTTCTCCAAACTTCATCAACAACAGACTCACTGATGCAAACTAGGCTGACAGTCATATGCAAAAGATTGGGCACCCCTGGTCAAATTACATGTTTAGTGAAAATAAGTGAACACGTCCTGTACAGACAACACAAGCCTGCATATTTTAATGCACAGTTACTGTTTATTTGCTGAATTAAACATATTAGAGATCAAATAAAACTAGCGTGTTTAAAATATGTTAAACAATTAATTAGAAACTAAGCACTAAAATACAGGAAAGGGCCATATTTAAGTTTATTTGCTGTAGAGAACTTATTTTCAATTTGAAAACCAACAAAAATTTGACTGGAATTTTAATCTTTTGCATGTTACTGTATTATAGAAGTCAGTGGGCAGTTGCTGAATTCCACTTACTTTAATTCTTTATTGAAAAATATTTGTTCAGCAACCCAAATGTTAAGAGGAGCCATTTTGCCCTTTCAACAAAAATCAAACCACCTTGGGAGCCACAACATTTTATGTCCATTTTACCATCTTGGCTGTAAATATGTCTCAATATGTGCTGATGTTCTAGTATAGATTAAAAATATAATATAAAAAAAACGCAGGCTTACTTTGCTCTGCTTTAAGTTTCAGCTATAGCTGCTTTTCTCACATCTCCAGCACGAAACTTTTCCTCAAAAGTAGAACAGTTTCTTGTAAAATGTCTCTCAACGTTTGACTTTTTACGAGGCTGAAGTCGCTTCTCATTCACCAGCTTCTTGTTCAAATTTTCCCATTCCACCTTAACTAGTGCCTGAGGTGCCAGAATGTAACTGCTGCTCCATTTAAGGTGGAACGGGAGAATTCAAACGAGAAGCTGGCGAATGAGAAGCAACTTCAGCCTCACAACCTTTTAGTGTTTAACAGTTTCTCGTTGCAGATTAAACATATCAGGAAACCAGCTGGAGTGCTTATAAATGCAAATAAGTCCATTAGTCTTACATTTTTCTCTTTGCTTTTTCGTTAGCTACTAGCTAGGCAAGATTCTTGTCTGCGTTACTATGGTGACCAGCAGTCTGCGAGCCAACCTGCAGGGTTCGTGAATTAGCAGATATAGGCTACATTATCTTCAGCGTTTAAGACCATTTATTGTGTTGAACGACCGGCAGAGCTTTATTTTACTGTAAAGGAGGATTATTTTATTTTTACCTGAAAATCTGATTCTGCTGTGGAGCCACAACAGGGCAGTAAAAGAGCCACATGCGACTCCGGAGTCGCATGTTGCCGACCCCTGGTATATAGTATACAATCATATATTTAAAATATTTATTATCAGTATTCAGCAACTGCCTAATGGGCAGTATAATAAATGGGTTGTTCTTTTTAAAGTACAGGGAAATGTCTATTATTATTATCGGTGGTAATTAAACAGTATGATCCAAATGCAGCTGAAAATCAAATATCAGACTATTGGCTTTCTTATATCTCTGGACTTCATAAATCTCTTCACTTAAATGCAGGGAGAATGTTTTATATGCTGTCTTTGACTCAGGCCTTATGTTATAGAACAGACTGCCTCTGCGGTTCAGCCTCCGCCGGCTTGTGTAAATGAAGCTGTGAGAGGCTGCTGAGGCTTCTCTATTAGTCCCAGCCGGGCTGAATTCACAGGCACGTCTCTGCTGAGCCTCGGCTTTTCTGCTCCTCCTTCCTGTGTCTGTCAGGCCTGTCTCAGCGTTAGGATGAGAGTCAGACAGGTCGTGACATCTCTCTCCATCAGGTAGATGTTCTTTGAGGCCGGAGCACTATGCTTTTCACTCAGGGATGCATCACATCTCTTCAGATTGACTGCCCACTTCACCCTGGAACACGGGTCAGGAGTACAATCCAAAGGCTAAACTGAGATCAATAAGAGCTAGAGGTGTAAATCCCTGACCTCACAACTATGGAATTTGATTAGGATTCTTTGGTAAATTAATCAGATGTCAAATTTTAAAAATCTGATACAATTCAGCTACTTTGGTATATTCAGAATTAGAGACACGCTGAAATTTTTGGCCACCAAAAAATTTCAAAAATTGCCAAATTTTCAAAAAAGACAAAAACTTTGGCAAAAAAAGCTAAAGATTAAATAAACATATAATGAAGTGTCAGAATCTCACAAATAATGTGAATGATAATGACAGTTAGAAGGGGATGTACATGAATGAACATCAGTGCTAATATTTATGTTTTCAAAACTGACACTCTGTGAAGGTCTTATGGTTTTGTCGCCCCCTCTGGTGCAAACAGAAAATGTTCTAAATAAATTAATATGTGGCTGCATATTGCGTGGCTTTAAAAAAATGAAACAATGCATATTTATCGATTATTTTTTCCTCATTTATCAATTTATCTTTTCAGGTTTTCAGTGATGTGTCTGATTTCTGTTATCTTTTTTTTCTATAGTCCCTGTTTCTCTCTGAGTTCTGACCTCACAATGATGCCATTTGATTAAGAATCTGTGGTAATTTATTCAAATGGCAAATTCCAAAAATCTGATAAAATTCAGTTATTTTGGTACGAAAAAATTCAAAAATTGTCAAAATAGTCAAAAAAGATACAAAAATCCTATTTGTCAGATTAGAGGACGTACAGGAATGAACTGTAAGTTGGTCTGACAAAGTCAGTGCTATGAAATTCCAGGTGGTTGTTAAGGTGTTGCTGTGTTATCCCAGGTGGTTGCAAAGATGTCGCTAGGCCATTGCTATGGACGCCCAGGGGATTGCTAAGGTGTTGCTAGGCTGTTGCTGTAGTATCCCAGGTGGTTGCTAAAGTGTTGCTATATCGTTGCTATGGTATCCCAGGTGATTAAAAACAAAATGATAAAAACATTTATAAAAAAGAACAGTAAGTTGGCTTTGTCAAGCCAGCCTGATAAGAAACACTGATTTAAAAAAAACAGTTTGTTTTGTTTGCTCTCCTGTGTCAGGCCACACATTCTTTACTGGAAATCACATAAATAATGCTGACTCAATAATACACTGTTAGAAATGAAGGTTCTGTGCAGGTACATTTTTATTCATCAAGGTACAGCCAATGTAAATGTATCCTCAAAGCTACAACAGTGGTTTTAAGGTCCAACTGTGTACCCAAATAAGTATTCATACTTTTTCATAATCTAATGTTTTAAAACAGAACAATAAAATAAAAAGCCTGGAGACGAGACAGTACAATTATGTTACCTGACTAAAGGTATTGAGATGTATCCTTGAGGGTTCCACCCCAGGGACAGGAGGGGTTCTGCCCCAGTGACAGTTTAGTACCTTTATTTCTGAGTCTAGTAACTCAATATCTTTTTTCACCTCTCATTTACTGCAGTCAAACATGTTAGTTAGCTACTGCTGAGGTTTATGGCTGTTTCTTCCATTACAGAAACTTAGTGCCCCCTGCTGGAGCAACTCCAGACTGCTAAGCGAGAGTTCTAAAGCCACACCCACATGATTTCTGTAATATTTATTTCTATCATTGCTGAGGATGCGCTCTGGATCTCAGTTTTAGATGTCTAAAGATGCAAACCACTGTGGCATTGATGTTGAGCTGTACCGCACAGGATTAAATAAACAGGATATGACCATTAAAATAGTGTAAACATTTTAATAAAAAAGTGTGATTTTAAGGCAGTTTTATGCTGTTTTTTTATTGTTAAATGCTGGAAGACTGAGGTGTTGACAACAACATCCTTGTTTATTGGTGTTGCCACTGTGCCTTTGTGCATTTACAGCACAAAACATGGCAAATAAGTGTTTTTTTTTCTTTTTGAAAATAGCCCAATGATTTTATTAATTACCTTTAAAAAGTGAGTGCTTACCTTATTGAATATTGTTACTGATAACTGATTAGAGTTCTAATGTTACAAAATCGGATGGACCACCATCTTCAGATTGATGAATCGTAATTCACTGATGTATGTTTACACCCCAAGTAGGACAGCGAAGAATTCAAACAGCTTTTTTGACCTGTTTGTGGTTTTTCTTGGGTGTTTTTAATTCACATTCTTGTTGCACACGTCCAAAAAAAAATCAAGAAATTATAAAACTGATTTCAGCATTTCTAGGCTTTTCAAACGACCTGTCCAGGGTGTATCCTGCCTTCCGTCCAATGACAGCTGGGATAGGCTCCAGCACCCCACCTCGACCCAGAAGGATAAGCGGTTTAGATGATGGATGGATGGATGGATAGGCTTTTCAAACAAATGGTTAAACTGCGTATGTAGTTCTGGATCAGGGACATGGGAGACATCCTCTCAACAAAAAAGTATTCGCTGAAGCAGACTAGCGTCATATCTTATATACATTTTTTTGTTTTTTTTTTTTAGGAGAGTTTTGTCAGCAGTCTAGTTTTAGTTTGTTTTTTTTCTGGCCGCTGTGTGTGCAGTGACAAGGACGGTGTTGGTGACGGCTGTTTGACATACTCTGTGGCGAACAGAGACGCGTTTGTCTGAAATGATTGGGCTCAGTGCTGATGAATGCCAAAGCCAGGGCTTTCAGACGCAGCTTGTTTGATTAAAACTGAAAGCACCGACCGCATACAGAGAACTGCATCTGACATCTAGATAATAGAAAGACAGCCATTCAGGAATAGAGAGAAAACGAGGGAGGCCTTTCTGTTCCATCACAGTTCCAGTGAGGGCGGTCTGTTGTTTGTCATAAACTAGTTTTGTTTTGTTTTTTTTTCACAAAGTGCTTTTACGCTGTTTTGCCACAGTGATGTAGCGAGTTAGAGTTTGGAGTTCAGCCACCAACATTCAGCTCGCTGGACTCTGCTCAAAGGAAAAAAAGGGCTTGGGAAGACAACAAAAGAATCAATAAGGAATAATCCTGACTGTGCTTTGACTCTGATTGTTTCAGTCTCCATACATTCCCTCAAGTCTGCTGCTGATGTTGCAATTACTGAGCTATGAAAGGCTGAAGCGAAGCAAAGCTGAGAAACGTGACCTGCTACACATAATGTCTGTAGCTGAGTCTGTGTTCGGTGGGGTACTGATATTTTGCGTCCTCCTTGTGTTCTTTCATACAGAGTGTGAAGATTCTGACCTACAGAGAACCTCAGAACCCTGAATATAAAACCTTTGTGTCGAAGCTGAAGACGGATGCCAAGAAGATGTTCAACTTCAGTGTCGAAGACTCGCTGGTAAGTAACGGAACCAAAAGAAATGATTTTTACCAGCTACATTATATACACCTTTGTTTGGTCCACTTACCCTGTATGTATGCAGATGCACTTGGTAGGTGCTGCCATACAGTTTATCAGTCCACCTCTACCTCATTCATCAATGCACCGGGATTACCACTGACCAGACATGTATACACAGGTGACAGATTACCCTAATAAATGAGGAGAAACATACAGAGTGCAGATGCTTCTTGTAGTGTGATGGCTAGCTTACCCCCAGCAGGGATTGAAATGGCAGTTCTCCTTGTTCAGATACCAGAATGCTATGGGGTAAGCCACTGGCCAAGCACAAGAGGTGGACTCCAGTTCAGAGCAGTGCAGACTTGTGAGCGTGGAAAAGAAGATTGAGTTTGCACCCATGGAAAACTCAAACTCACAACCTTGTGACACAGGGGTGAGTGCGTCACCCCTGAGCTATCATGGCAACGCTGTTAAGAGTTTCGTAGGAGGGTGGATAAACAAAGAGTTTCAAAAAACTAAAGTTTAATACTTCTGCTGAGAGATACTCGAGAAATCAGAACTCGAGACTTGAGAGAGGAACTAACACCAAAATTAGTCTGAGACCTGCACATATCAGCATGAACTCAAGACTGAGCAGAAAGCAGCGTGTGAGCACCCCTCAACCCTAATTACACCATAGTGGTGACTTGTCTCCCCCTAGTGGCTGGAGGTGGCTTACCACGAGGCTGGGACATCAGAATCAGAATCAAGCTTTATTGGCCAGGTATGCTTACACATACAAGGAATTTGGTTTTGGTTACAGGAGCTCACAGTGCACAGTATCAGACAGACATTTGCTATTATTTATTAATAATATTAAATTAAATTAAATTAACTAGTTATTCTCCAGGGTATATTTCAGTTTTTCCATCTGAATGTACATGCCCAAATCCTAAGGCAAATTATTCAGTAACTGCATGAATCAAAGTGTTGGTGTTTTTTTTTGTAAAAGCTCCCCTCAAAAAAATAACAGAAAATGTGTTTTATGATCATAAAGTGCAGCAGCAGTTAAAGGGTGTATAGTGGCAAAGAAAGGGATCAGTGAGGTGACAGTCAGATAAGTGGGGTAATAAGGCAGGTAAGTGAGGTGCTAGAAGAAACACTGGTCTGACACGGTAGGTTCAGAGGATGGAATGTTGAGTGTGATGCTATATACCAATATATTTAGAAGTGCTTGTACGCTGTTTTGCCACAGTGATGTAGTGAGATAGAGTTTGGAGTTCAGCCACCACCAACAGCGACATGTAAGATAAAAATAGAAATAAAAATAGACATAAATTTGGCACACATAAAAAAATTAAACATAAGTCAGAGTAAAGTACGAGAGAATATTTGCATATTTACCCAGCATACAAGACAGATTTTGTATTTACATGAGAGCAGGTATTGCACTAAGTGATATAAGGCAGTTTACAATGAGTATAAACATAACTAGGAAGTTATTAGCAGTATTTACAGTCTAAAATACTCAGTGAGAGTCATTACAGTAGCGGTTATGATATATTGCACAGTGTGTATTAACAGGAGAGGTGACGCAGTGATGAGGTTCAGCACAGTTCAGACAGCAGGAGATCAGTACCGTCTCTGCAGTAAGGACACTTGTTGAAGAGCCTTATAGCAGTGGGTAAGAAAGATCTCACACAGCGCTCTTTAACACAGCACAGCTGTAACAGTCACTGAATGAGCTTCTCTGTTTATCCAGTGTAGCATGCAGGGGGTGTGAGGTGTTGTCCAAGATGGCTAACAGCTTGTTGAGAGACCTTTGTTCTGCCACAAACTCCAAAGAGTCCAGCTTGAGTCCTACAACAGAGCCAGCCTTCCTAATGAGTGTGTTTAATTTGTCCAGAGCACTTTTGTTAATGCTGCTGCCCCAAACAATGGCTTTGAATAAAGCACTTACTACAACAGAGCTACTAATAAACTGTTAAACACATAACATAGTCTGTTAGCCATGTCTAATTAAAATAATGTATTTAATTTATTTTAAATTTAGCTATTAAAGATACATGTTTTATAATGATTTTTAGGAAAAAAATAGTGATACATGTATTTGTTTTGGCTATTACATTTTCTTGTTGGAAGCTGGACCCTGTACACGCCCACACACGACAGCACGAGTGGCCTCGAACACAAGAGACAAACTTGGGGCAACGTAAGAGACTTGTCACCTGCTAGTGTGAACGCAGGGTGACAGTCCAGTCATCAGCCTGTCAGATACAGAGACCTAAAGCAGCTCATCTCATGTAAAACTGCCGTTTCAAATACATACGTTTATATCAGTCCACATTCAAATGCTGAAAATAGAGTTTTAAAAACCTCAGTGAACTAAAGCTCTGCTTTTGAGTGGATCGGCAGCTACAAACTGGAGAAAAAATAAAAGCATCCGAGCTAGACTGTGTGCATATAATCAGCCCTGATAACTGAAATCATCTTTTTAGACCTTTTCATTCAACATTTTCATAGCTCAGCATTTCATCTCAGAAATAAACAGTGCTGTTTAGGTCTTGTGTTGATAGTTACTTAGTGTTATCTTTCTAGCTGAGATGATCACAAGTCCGAGTCAAGTCTCTGGGATGTGAATCTGAGTCGAGCCTCGAGTCTCTGGGGTGCGTGTCGAGTTGTGAGTTAGTCTCGAGTCCGGGTCGAGTTCTGAGTCAATTTCAAGTTCGAGTCGAGTCGTGAACCAGTCTTGAGTCGTGAGTCAATCTCAAGTTTGAGTCGGGAGTCAGTCTCGAGTCTGACTCAAGTTGTGCGTCTTGAGTCTGAGTCGAGTTGTGCACCGGTCTTGAGTCCGACTTGTGTGTCAGTCTTGAGCTTGGGTCATTTTGTACATCAGACTTGAGTCCGAGTTGAGTTATGCGTCAGTCTCAAGTCTGAGTCAAGTCATGCGCCAGTCTCGAGTGCAGTTCGAGACGTGAGTCAGTCTCGAGTCTGAGTCGAGTTGGGAGTCAGTCTCCAGTCTGAATCTGACTCAAGTCGTAAGTCTCAAGTCCGAATTGTGGTATGCATCAGTCTCAAGTCCAGGTCGCGTCGTGTGTCAGTCTCAGGTCTGAGTCGAGTTGTGTGCCAGTTTCAAGTCCAAGTCGAGTCATGCATTAGTGTTGAGTCCGAGTGGAAATGTAAGTCTTGAATCTGAGTCAAGTCATGCATCAGTCTCGAGTTAAAGTCAAGTCAGGTGTCATTCTCAAGTTTGAGACAGTCTCGAGTGCAAATCAGTTTGGAGTCTGAGTCGAGTCATGTGTCAGTCTTGAGCCTGAGTTGAGTCGTGAGTCTTAAATGCCATTCCTGAGGCCAAACTGAGCCAATGGAATATGTTTTATTACAGTTCCTCAGTTTTTGAAAGCCTCATATTCATATCATCAGTCAGTTAGAGCTACATAGTCTGTCTCACCAGTGTTTTATATCATTTTAGACGGTGTCTAAAATGGTTTGTGCTGTATGTTCTATTTAAGTCACTGATCAATATTCTCACTGAGGAAAGCCTGCGTGTGAGAACGTGTGGGAGAGCTGTATTTATCTCAGTATGGATGAGATGGTGTCGGCTCTGAGCTGGAGCTCCTGCAGAGGGGGGCGTCCTGAGAAAAGCTTTTGTGCAGCGCTGCGTTCTGTCGTAAATCACAAGCTGTTAGTGTTTCACACAACACACTGAACCATGTGCTTTTAGAGGGATTGTTTTCATAGCTCATGTTTTCTAAAACCATTATACATGCAGTGGAATTTTACTGTACTTTCTGAAAGGGCTTTGTGAATTTCATTTGCTTGTTTGGAGAGCAGTTTGAGCTACACAGCGGCCCTGACTGTATAAGTGAGCTAATTCAGCGCAGACGCTACAGCAGTAGATATAACACACAGGCACAAATATCGGCTACAAATACAGAGTTCAGTAATCTTCACACAGAAACACACAGCAGGAAAAACACAACAATTTAAAGTCCAAAAGGGGCAAAAACACAGATATAACAAAAAGGAGGCTCCAAAAAATCACAGAACTAATAGCTGGGAAAACTAAACGAAGGAAGACAATTGAATTTTTAGAGCTGAACAATCTGAGGAAACTATGATTGTGGTTTTTCCTTTAAATGCAATTATTTAAATCAAGCTCCAGGCCTGTTACGTTTTGTTTTTTGGGGGTTTTTTGCCACCACATCCATGGCTTGATGTTGAACAGTGTAGCATGCCAGACTGCCAGTTCACAAGCTCCGTGTTATTAAGTTAAATTTCCCACTTAAAATTTAAAGAAAAGTGTTCAGTAATGTAGGTTGGTGGTCGGCAACCCCAACATTAAGAAGTGCCATTTTGTCCTTTCAGCAAAAATCAAACCACCTTGCGAGCCACAAAATTTCATGTCCATTTTACCATTTTGGCTGTAAACATGTCTCAGTATGTGCTGACGTGCTAGTATAGGATGAAAAATATAATATAAACAAGAAGCCAGCTTCTTCGTCGAAGTCTCCCATTCCACCTTAAATGGTGCCTGATGTGCCAGAATGTAACTGCTGCACCATTTAAGGTGGAACGGGACAATTCGAATGAGAAGCTGACTTCAGCTTTGCGACTTTTGACAGTTTCTTGTTGCAGATTAAACGTATCAGGAAACCAGCTGGAGCAATTATAAATGCAAATAAGGCTCCAAATTATCGATGTTCATCTTAAATCTTTCCCTGTGCCGTTTCGTTTGCTATGGCTGGGCGAGACTTTTATCTACGTTGCTATGGTGACCAGCAGTCTGCACACCAACCTTCAGGGTTAAAGGGTGAATTAGCAGTTCTACATTAACTCCAGCGTTTAAGACCATTTATTGTTAAACTGTGTTGAACGATCAGCAGAGCTTTATTTTACTGCGAAGGAGGATTATTTTATTTTTACCTGCTAATCTAATTCTGCTGTGGAGCCACAACAGGGCAGTAAAAGAGCTGCATGCAGCTCCAGAGCCGCATGTTGGTGACCCATGATGTGGG